AGAGAGAGTGTGTGTGTGACAGTATGCGTTAACATGTGTCTCCTGAACGCACACACATATTTTGTGCGTTAATCTGCGTGTGCGTCCCTTTTCACATCCCATTAGACGAAGCGCTGCGCTCCAGCACCAAGGCATGCTGGGTAGATAATTAAACATGAGTCCCGGTGAGATGGTTTGTGACAGGGGAAATACACACCACACACACACACACAGCAAATATGTCAACTGGAGCCCGGAGGGGTTACGATGTGTGTCAGTCAGTTAAATTAAATGATAAAAATTACACCAGCCAGAGGAAACAAACACACTTCATACATCCACTGCCTTTAACACACAGCAGCATCTGATCTGAGACCATTAGTAGAAACATTTTCACACTATCTGAAGACCAATTTTCAACATGAAGTGAGACTAAAAACTCTCACATTTAGTTTGTAGCTTCAGATATTAACATTGCAGAACCACAATACGCTGTGAGATATTTATCTCCGGGCACCAAGTCTGTACAAATATCGTCTGAAATGTTTCATTCATTCAGTTCAATAGTTGGGATATAAAACGGGGACAGAAAGAGGAATATATATTGTCGTTTAAATGTTGAACAATTATTAATATTTTTATTAATTCACTGTAAAAGAAAAGTTGAGAAAACTCAATTTCAAGGCAACTGTCTTCACTAAACGTTTTAAGTCAAACTTGAACGTGTTAGTTTAAAAAAAAAACAATAAAAAGATTTGCTGAAATAATTTAATTTTCTCTTTAAATTTTTCGAGTTTTAAAACCAGAAAATTCTGTATTTTAATCGTTTTCAATTACTGTGAACCCGATTTTTCATCAGTTGGGTGCTTGAAAATATTAAATTAATAACCATTTTTCACTTTATTGTATCCTGAATGAATTTTATATATTTTTTTAATTGTAAACAAATGTGTAATTAGATGCAATCCAACACATAAGAGCCACAGACAGGAAGTCAGACAGTATTGAGAGACAGACTACATGAAGAACTTGATTTAAAGCTCTTTTTGTCTTAAATGAGTCGGTGTTTGATGAGCGGACCTGTTGATTGACAGCTTCATCAGCCGCCGCGCTGTGGTGTCGGGTTGTGGTTGCCGTTGGAAACATTGGGGCGGAATGTCATTTTGTTTGGGGGTCACTCAGGGAGCCACACTGGGCCCACTGTGCGTCTCTGATTTCCTGCCTGTTGTTTGAGCTCAGGAGACCCCTCATTGTGTGTTTGTGTGTGTGTTTGCGTTCAGTGTGTGTGTGTCTGTGTGTGTGTCTCTACGTTCAGCCCGACCGGCTGCTTTGTCCAGTTGTGTTTACATACACACACAGTTTCCTGTTCGTCCAGAGCCAGAGGGTGTTTGGCCTGAACCAACTGACTGACCACTGCTGGACGTCCCGCCAGCTGCTCCCCCTCTCCTCACTGTGTGTGTGTGTGTGTGTGTGTGTGTGTGTGTGTGTGTTTATGGGGGTCATCTGTCCACGACCCCAAAACAGAGCACTGACACTGAGCTGAAAGCCGGCACACACACCCCGATAATCACACCAGGCTAATTATCATAATTACCACCAAACAAGACCCGGAGAGACACAAATTAGAGTTATTATAATTTCTGGTCTTAAACGGTAAAATATGAATGAAATTATGTTAAAAAACAATTGAGATATTATAGGATGACGACTGGAGAGGATGCAGCTTGTTGGAGAAATCCTAGATGACTGCTGAACTGAAAAAAGTAAAAGATTAAATTGATTTAATTAATTGGGTATCAATGTTGAGCTTTTTAATAACAAAGAAACAGAGCATATTCATGGAGAGATGATTTAAGAGAGAGATATTTAAAGGCCTGTCCCAAAATAAAAGGACCTTTAGTGCTTTTATTTTTTATTCATCCTCTATCTTCTGTGATGTTCCGCTATGTGATATTGTCTGCTGACAAAGTCTAATTTTCTCTTCAAAATTATTATTTAAAACAAAGAAAACTAAAGCAACTAAAGCACCAAGTATATTTTCTTTGCTTAAAGTCAAGACTTGACAGTGAAGATGGAAAGAAGTCACTATTTGTTGTGTTTTTTCAGTTTATCTTCAGTCTATTTGAGTCAATCAGACCCACCACTATAGAATATATACATTATTTCTGCACTCAATTCAGAAAATGGGCACTAATCATTAATAACCTTTAAAATGACATACAGATTTATGGTCAAAGCAGAAATACTGTCTAAACTAGCAGGCGTTTATCCATTTATTTAAAACCGTTTCCTCCCTTCAAAATAAAATGAACGTGAGAACAGCAAAACAAAAAAAGGAAGAAAAAGTTTAAAACAGAAAG